TTTTGACAAATTCCCTGACTTTTTGACAATTTTCGACAAATTCCCTGACTTTTTGACAATTTTTGACAAATTCCCTGACTTTTTGACAATTTTCGACAAATTCCCTGACTTTCCCCGACAACTAATGAAAATCCCTGACATTCCAGGTGCGTAGGAACCCTGTATATATTATAAGTTGTATATATATATATACACACACACACACACACATACATACATACATACAGGTATACCTCGAGTTACAGTGTTCTCGATTATAATAATTAAAAAAATATATGGAAAAATAAAAATCAAGTTTAAGTCATTTTATTCGACTTTACGTCTGTCTGCCACAAATATTGAAATCGTAATATCACAGAAAAGTGTTAAAAGCACATAAAATCATATTAAAATATATACATTTACAGTAAATGTTAATATAATCATCATAAATCATAGAGAACAAAACTATGAAAACATCTGAGACTCTGTGTTGTCATCTTATTTAGCAGTATTTAAGAGCTCAATATTGGCATTTCTTCTTTTTCCTCACGGTTTATATGGAAATATTAAATATTGGCATTTTCCATGGTAGTTCCAATATCTACTGTTTGGCATCGTTGTCAGTGCCACCCATTATTGGTAAATGTAACATAAATTAGTTTATGTTTTACTATTGCAAAATAATTTTAATAGCTGTATTTGTTATTTAACCTTACAAAATCATCTTATTTTATAATGTCTTAGAGCAAACCACATTCACAAATAAAGAGTCCATGATGTACTGTAAACATCACCAAATTGTAAACATGTATATTTAGAAGTATGTACTGTACATACCATACATATATTCGTAAATTTAGATTACTTTTTTCCTGTACTATATTAAAAACTAAAATTTATTTGTTTGTAAGCTTAAAATAGATTCTTATTAATCACATATTATTAAAAATGCATTTATAAATAAAATACAAACTGGGAATGATATTTGTGGTTTAGCCTAGTGACAAGTAAATTCAACTTATGTCGTTTTTGGACTTAAGTCACCTCTCCTAGAACCAATTACTGATGTAAGGTGAGGTATACCTGTATAAAGTAAAACCAATCCTAAACAGAACCTGAATAAAATGAAAATTCTTTGTAATGGAGCAATTTTGTGGTAAAAAAATAACTGTTCAAAATGGAAATTTTTAATGTCATAATTGGCCGCGTTTCTTTATGCAGCGCTCGAGAAGCGCTTTACAGCAAACCCTCTGAAACCCGTTTCTAAATGCAACGCTGCAATGTAGCGAACCGTTTCTAAATGTTTGCTGCAAGAGGTCGCTGCAGCGAAGATAAAGCAGCTTTTACGTCCGCTACACATGTAAAGCAAAATGGACGCTTGTGTGTATAATACGATATTATGCTGTAAAAGTAAAAACGTCGAAGTGACTGTTGATAAAAATATTATGGAAAGATTAAGAAGGATTAAATTTTATGAAATGACTCTGAAAGTTATCTAAAGAATAAGAAAATACTATACTTTAAATATAATTATATATCTTTTATCTCTTTACTTTGTTCACATTTATGGAAAGATAAATGCTCGATTCTTTATATCTCTTTATTTAAATATTGTAGTTCTTTAACTAAAGCACTATTTTCGACTGTAACTGGAATTAAAGGATAGATTATGACGTCCGTGTTTCGCTCGAGCGGA